ACGTTGATCTTGAGATTCCTAATATGTTCATTGACCACTAGAGAACTAAAGGATATACTTTTTTGCACTTTGAAGCAATTAGATTAGTCCTATCATTACATGGTAGGAAAAATCTTTCTGTCACTGCCAGAATTGTTCTCCTTGACACTATCTATATTTATTATGAGCATGTTGTGATTGCTACCTTATTAACCACCCTTTATGCTGGAAGCGTGGTCTTGACAATTTTTCCAAACTACAATATTGTCTTGAAAGATAAGACCCTTCCAACCAGGTTGAAGGTTCAAATCCAAATCATTGAAGCAAAGCAGATAGAAGAAGCTCTGTCAGCAACACTTCATCATCAAATGATCTACAGGCTCCAAAACCACGCACATAACCTTCCTCTCCCAAGAATGACTAATGACAATCTTTTTGTCATTGCTAATAGAAGTGAAGGTGATGTCCCTTCTATTCTCCAGATTCCCAGATAAATTCCTAGAGAAGAACTCCTTAAAATGATTCCTTTAGAGTGGATAACTAACTATGAGAAGATCCAAAAAAACGATAAACCAATCCAGTCATCTGAAGTTACTTAAGAAGATTTGTAGATGGTAGTGTCTGGACAATTTTCAGAAGACCAGAAGACAATTCTAGCCAGTCCACAGATTGTTTTCAATCCATGATGATCACTCCTGTTACAGGAGAAGATCATATCCCAATATACAGCTTCAAACCATATGGATCTACTATTTATTCTGACAAATTTGATTGTCACTTCATGTGGGATGTTGATCCTTCAATGCGTGATTCTGATTGTGACTGCTGGATGCACTCTGGTGAGACATCTGATGAAGATTTAGATGATGATGATGAGGATAGTTCAAGGAAAAAGAAAAAGAAGCCTTGCAAACCACCTCCTCAACCACAGAGAAAAGACCCTGGATTTACTCCATGGGTAAGAATTAGGAGAGAAAAAATCTCTCTACCTATTTACTATGAAGCCCTGGAAATTTTGAAAAAAGAAGGACTCTGTCCAAACAACCTAGTGATCCAGACTTAATTACATGGCCTCCTCCACCAGAACTTTGTAATTCTTTCACCTCTCCTCTCGAAAAAGTTCAGAATCCTATCCCTTGCATGATATTTTTCAAGTATGATGAATAATTTCCTTCCCTTGAAAGGAAAGTAGATCCTGTCACTAAGGTCAACACTAGACCTTTAGTGATCCCTTCTGAAGTCCAACCAGATGGAGCCTTAAAAGCTCTATCTCAAGTTGAAGAAGTTCTCAATTGGCAGGCTGAGAATTCTTTGGCCCAAAATAAGCTTTTGAAAAAGATGGATGAAAAAATAAACCAGATTGCTGATTTTGTCCACAAAACCAATGAAAGACTCAGAAAGTATTAGAAAGTGCTATATGTTTTTATCTTTGTTATGATATTGAAGGCTCCCACCCAATGATGGTATCAAAGCTTAACAGTTATTTGATTTTGAGTTCTTTAAGGTTTATAGGCTGGAAAGCTAACAGGCACTTCCGGAGAAACTGTATAAACAGTCACCCTTGTCTGTAACAATGCCACAAACACCTAATTTAACTCAGAGCTTAAAGTCTCTGTTGAAAAGGAGGATAAGTGTGATAGTCATTACAAATAAAGTAATTAAGATCTTTAGCACCATGAATACAACCACAAATACTATTCAATCTAATTCTACTGAAATTTCCCTAATCTTCTTAAATTCACCAATGTCTCTACTCAAAGATTGTATCTGAATTGCTGCTGACAAAATAGAAAATTTGATTGAATATACCTATGTACCTAAAGATGCAAAAATCCATGAATCTATAGTTCCTATAACTACTTTTCAAATTGTTCTTTGACTCGATCCTATTATTAATTTTAACTATTATTTACTAAACACTTGCATTATGAGAGTTTGACACTATAATAAATAACTATCATTATTTATTTATATATTACATATAGGCTAGTAAAAAGTTAACTACATAACAAATAAATTATATCACCTTGAGTTCAATCTAATAAACTCTGTGAACAAATCGATATATCAATGTAATTTTTTACTATTGTAACTTTTTCTTTAATATACTTTTACTGAACATATTTTTTTTTTTAAATGTAACAGAAGCTGAAACATCATTTCTTTTAAACACAACATTATTATTAAATAATAGTTACAGATTGACAGTATAATAAAAAATGAATTATTTATGAGTTTAAATTTGTGTAAAAGATTTTACACTATCAATTAAAATATATAGTGAATGTACTTTTTATATTAATTGTTATAGAAATAATTCTTTTTTTGTTAATGTAGCAATTAATTTTTAAGTAACTGTAATAAAGAATCTTCAATATGTTACATATACATTATTAAAATTTCAATTATATATCAAACATGAACAAATCAATTTCATTACGTTGAAGTCAATTTAATAAGTTTTATCCATATATAATTAAAATAATATAACAATTTTTAATTTTCTAACAAATATAATTATTTTTTCTTTCAACCAATTAAAATATTACGTAAATAACACCGGTTTATACATTCGATATTCACACAACCCCGTATATAATTTACAGTTTATATGCTTAACTAATCACACTTTTTTTTAAATGTCTAATCTTTGTTTATAAAAACTTAATACATGTAAAATAAAAGTTTACTAATTTTATAAAATCTGTGCAGTCAAAAAGCTAATAAATAATAATCATATGTTTATCAATAAAAAAATTATGTAACGTATAATAATTTTTTTAGAAAGAGAGACCACTTACCTTAAAACTTTATAAATGGTTGGGTTGGTTCAGTTGGGTTTGGGTAATAATATTTTTATGCAAAACTACTTGACCGCATTGAAAATTTGAATAAAAAAAATTATTAAGGTGACGAGACCCAATTTCAATGGCAAATGCCTTGCTCTGTTGTACTATTTGGATGAAGAAGAAGAACGTCGGTAATGTTGAATCCCAATGCTTCTTTTTTTTATATTTAATGTTCAATTTTTATATATTTTTTTATTCATCAAATCTTAGTCCTTATTGCATGAATGATATTTAAATGTATATATTTCTTTTATGTTTTTTTGTCTTTTTCTTTGTGACTGTGTAATGATTTTGTCTTCAGATTGTAATAACTTTTTTTTTTTTAGCTTTGTTAGTAATCTCTATAAATATTGCTATTAATCAAATTTACCACGGTTTTTTTTTCCTTCTTCAATAAACTAAATGACATATTATCCACTCTCTTCACTAATAATTTCAATAATCTTTTTTGCATATGTTTAAACAATCTTAATCAATTTTTTAATTATAATTTTTTGTAATATGTTACTCCAATATTTTTGTGTATAGAAATATTTTTATTTTGTCATTTTTTGTATGATCACTCGTCTATCTTAGTATTCTCATTTTTGTAATTCACTTTTTTATCTTATATTATTCCTTCAAAATCTAATATCTAATATGATATAAGATAGTTGGTTGTAAAATAATGCATTAAATTTTTCCTTCAACTTGAAATGTATTTTACTATCACAAATAATTTCTTATGCATTTCTCCACTTTAACCTCTCATCTTATATTTTGAGTAACATCTTTTTTAATTTCTCCATCATTTCAATTTTATGTACCTAAACTTGGAGACCTGTAGTATAATGTCATCTCTAATTTTAACTTTCAATGCATCATTATCATCTTATTATTTTTGCTAAAATTACAATGTATATACTCTATTTTACTCCTCTTCAAGTAAAAATATTAAAATTTCAAAAGTTCGATTCCAAAGGTTAAGCTTGGAGTTAACTTATTCTTTTAATTCCTTAACTAAAACTATGTCATCCATAAAAAGAATACACTTATAGATAATTTTTTGTATGTCACTAGTAAGCACATCTAAAACTAAATTAAATCATTAAAGACTCAAAAGAAAAATGCTTATATAAATCTATCCCAATAAAAAAAATTTAGATATATTTTAGAAGTTCTCATACTTGTAATTACTCCATTATTCATATATTGTATAGTTGAATATATGCTACACAAATTATTTTTTCTAAGACTTTTTATGACGCTTATCTTAATACATAATTATGTATTTGCGAAATCAATATAAATTATATATAAACCATTTTTCTTTATAACAGTACTTTTTTTTTATCAATTTTTATAGAAAAATATATAACTTTTATGGTAGACTTTCTTACCATAAAACTTATAATTGATTATCGACATTTTTATAAATTTTCTTAATCTATATTCAATCACTTTTTTCCATAATTTCAAATTGTGTTTTATAAGTTTTATCCCTTTATAATTTATATGATTTTTTTAGTACCTTTCTTGTTCTTGTACATAAAAACTAAAGTGTTTTTCTTCTACTCATTTGACATATTCTTAGATAAGAGAATAAGTTAACCAATTTTTTTTTGTTATCTCATAAAATATACAAGAACGAAACCAAATGATATATAACGGTGTTTGGACATATTGAAATGTAATAGTAATAATACACTTAATTTACCCTTAAAAAGTTTTTGTATGACTTTGGAGATCCACTGCATTATTTTACTTCTTTTTTTTTTTCTAACTCATTATGACATTTTACAGCTCATGTTGGATTTCATGGCTTTGAAGGCAATAAAAATAAAAATAAAAATGGCAAGCTCCCATAAAATTATTGAATCATAGTCATTAATTTGAACGGATCCAAACTAAGAAAGTGAACTGAAAAATTCATACTTTTATGTACCCTTATTTTCAGTTCACTGCATTTGAAGCTATGCAAACAGACTAAGGAATATATTTTTGTTGAAATAACAATTAAAAGAAGAAAGAAGAGAAGGGGAAAGGAGGCGGCATTGCAATGCCAATTGGCAACCGTCACCAACTGTCAAAAATGAAAGTGTTGTGGTGGGACCCACTCACATGGGCATGGGTCCCTCTCACTCACGTTTTCATTTTCACATTATAAAACTCAGCTCAAAGACACACAGTAACACTGTTTCTTCAACATTCAATTCAATTCATTTCAAGATCTCAATCACATGACCCAAAGACTCTCTTTAGTTACAGTGAAACCAAACCAAACCCTACGCTCCTCTCCCTCCGTCATTTCAATGCGGCTTTTGTTGGCGCTGTAGAAGAAGAAGAAGAAGAAAATGCTCAGTTTCTGCAGAACCACCTTCCTCATTGTGTCCTTTCTCTCCCTTTTGGCCCGTTGCCATTGCCATGGACATGTCTACACCTTCACCATGCACCATCGCTACTCCGAGCCCGTCAGGAAGTGGTCCCACGCCACCGCCGGAATCCCCTCGCCGCCGGAGAAAGGCAGCGTCGAGTACTACGCCGAGTTGGCCGACCGCGATCGCTTCCTCCGCGGCCGGAAGCTCTCCCAAATCGACGCCGGACTCGCTTTCTCCGATGGCAACTCCACCTTCCGCATCAGCTCCCTTGGATTGTATGCTTGTTCTTTTCCTTTTCATTCTTCAATTATTATTATTATTATCGAAATGGTCTTTTTAAAATATTAAATTAATAATTTCTTGAAAATAATTTAGGGAATGGTTTGATGGGTAATGGCTCAAGTTTCAAATTTGAAAGAAAAGAAGAAAGTATTTACGTGTGATTTATACTTGAATTTGACCCTTCTTTATGATTTAGTAAGTCTGTTCGTTTCTAAAGAAAAAAATTACGATAAAAACTTAATATTTAAATTAGAAAAAATGAGAAAAATGAAAGAATTGATTGGATTGGATCGTTAGGAAACTGTCTTGATTAGTCTCTTCTCTCTTTTTTTTCTTGGAAATTGAATGCTGGTTTTCTTTAACCTTAACCCTATCTTTTTTTCTTTTTCTTGTTTTTTTCCTGGAGATTCATACAGTTTGCATTATACAACAGTTCAACTAGGGACACCGGGAGTGAAGTTCATGGTGGCGCTTGATACGGGAAGCGACCTCTTCTGGGTACCCTGTGATTGCACCAGATGCGCTGCTACTGATGGCTCAGCATTTGCTTCAGCCTTGGCTTCGGTATGCTCTCTTCAGTTATATCTATTGTATATTGTTTATGATCATGAAGTTTTTCCTCTACTTGGCTATTGTTTATTTTCTTTTGAAGAATGTTAGCTGTAGCAAATGCAATCCTTTTTAAGACACTCTTAAACACATTCTTTATAAATTGATAATTTGTTTGTAGGTCTTTAATTTGTTGGAGTATTGAAAAGAGCGTGTTTTCTAACATTTATCTTTTCTTTTTCCTTTTTTTTAATCTTGAGTGAAAAATATCTTTGAGAGTGAGCTTTGTATGAATGAGGAAGATGATTCTTATATTTTAGATATTCGTGTCTTCTGTTTTGCTGCTCCTTCTTTTTTTGAGTAAACTTCATTGTTGTAGCAGGATTTTGACCTTAATATATACAATCCTAATGGATCTTCAACGAGTAAGAAGGTCACTTGTAACAACAGCATGTGCACTCACCGCAACCAATGCCTCGGGACATTCAGCAACTGCCCCTATATGGTCTCTTATGTCTCTGCCGAAACATCTACATCAGGAATTCTAGTGGAAGATGTTCTGCACTTAACAAAAGAAGATAGTCACCATGACCTTGTTGAGGCAAATGTCATATTTGGGTTAGTTTCCTTGTTAAATTACGTTCTTTCTTTTTCTCAATTATTCATCTAAGAAGTAGCAATAATAGTGCAATACATGTATTTCAGCTGTGGACAAGTTCAGAGTGGATCATTCTTAGATGTTGCTGCTCCCAACGGTTTGTTTGGGCTAGGTATGGAGAAAATATCAGTTCCTAGCATGTTATCAAGGGAAGGATTTACAGCAGATTCATTCTCCATGTGTTTTGGACGGGATGGCATTGGAAGGATAAGTTTTGGGGACAAGGGAAGTTTTGATCAAGATGAGACTCCATTTAATCTGAACCCATCACAGTAAGTGGTAATTCCCTGTTGCTTGCCTCTGATTATCTGAATTTGAAGTACTATTAATGTTTGCAATAATAACATCTCTTATGCATGGATACATTCCACAGTCCTACCTATAATGTCACAGTCACCCAAGTCCGTGTAGGCACTACTCTAATCGATGTGGAATTCGCTGCTCTTTTTGATTCTGGGACCTCTTTTACATATTTGATTGATCCTACCTATACAAGGCTTTCTGAGAGTGTAAGTTCCAAATGGGACTAAATCTGCTTACTATTAACTATATGTTATTTCAAGACAAATCTTACCATAGCATTTATTTTGCAGTTTCATTCCCAAGTACAAGATAGGCGACGTCCATCTGATTCAAGAATCCCTTTCGAATATTGTTATGATATGAGGTCATAAAACTACTATTATTTGTTATTCATTTTAGTTTTTCTTTCAAAGCTAAATTTTCTTTCTCATCATGTACAGTCCTGATGCAAATACTAGTCTGATTCCAAGTATGAGTTTAACTATGGGAGGTGGAAGTCATTTTATTGTTTATGATCCGATAATTATTATCTCTACTCAGGTAGTAGTTCAAGCTGGCTTCCTTTTCAATATATGTATCCGACAATTGTTACCTTTGGGTATATACATGTAACTAAGATGTTCCTTCCCTTATCATTTTACAGAGCGAACTTGTATATTGTCTAGCAGTTGTCAAGAGTGCTGAGCTGAACATAATTGGACGTAAGTCTCTTATACTTTCTGAATACTATATGATTGAATATGCTCTATAAACCAGAAGTGAATTAGGTTCAGCTAGGGACAAGCTGAAGAATTAAGTCAAACAAAATATAAGCGGGCTTGTTTACTATCAGTGACTCGGTGTCCAAATGATGCGTGATGGTTCATATATGTTCATTCTCATGCACTGTTCTCCCAAATAATATTATGATTGTTTACCCCTCAGCTTTTGATGTTGATTGCAGAAAACTTCATGACTGGTTACCGTGTTGTATTTGACCGTGAAAAGCTCATATTGGGATGGAAAAAATTTGATTGTAAGTGTTTATTTCCCTCTCACGGTTACTAATCTTCCAATTTGTTTTTATATATGCTGAAACTTAATAGCCTTACCTCTGAGATTTAATTCCCAAGAAACAAATGGTCATACTTTGAGCCCATAAACAGGTTATGACATTGAGGACCATAAAGCTATCCCAAAAAGACCACACTCAGATAATGTGCCTCCAGCTGTCGCTGCTGGGCTTGGTAATAACCCTTCCACTGATTCAACAAGAAAGTCCAAATACAAGTCTCAAAGTTCTAATGCATCACCATCATCGCATTATACCCACAATTCACTTCCAACTTGCTTAGAATTTCTTGTATTTTGTTTTGTTTACATATTCTATAATCATTCATTTGTAATGGGCTTGTAGTAGTTTATGGTAAACCTTAGCTCATATTCTTGATCTACATGTTGATAGTTACAATACATTTCCTTTTGCTCTGTTCTATGTAGTATAGTAGTGAAGAAGAATATATGTTTGATTTTTACTCTCATGATATAACACACTGTAAATGTCAGCTATATGTTTTCCCTTCCCACTCAAGTTATTATTCTGTTATTTATTCAAGGAGGAGGAGATATATATTTCCATGTTATAATTTGCTTTGATTAGCATGTGGGGTACAAGGAAGCATATTTTAGCTGCCTTCAGTGTTCTATTGTTCTGAAAGCTTGAGATTTCATTTCATAAATTTTATATTTTGGAAGATTTGTTTTATTTCAACGTCAATCTAGGCAAGTGCATTTAACGGTAAAAAGAAAATGAAAAGGGTTAACAATTTCTATGGCGTGTAAAATAAAAGGTTTTCTTTCAACATCAATCCGCGAGGCCATTTTCCGTATCGCGCAACCTGGGACGGAACTCGTACCTGGGAACCATATCTATGTCAAGATTCTAAAAACTAAGTTCACATATTTTTACAATTAAGAAAATGGGTTGAAGTTAAGAAATTTCTAGAATTTAAAAAAAAAGAAAATTAAGTTTAAAGTTAATTTTTTTTTATATAATTTTATAATTTTTTAACCCTTAGAGGTAACTTTTAAGTTAAAAATTATCGGGTAACATATTCTTAAATCATAGAATTTATGACAAAAAAGAATAGAAAGAAAAATTTTAAATTAGATTATAAAAAATTATAACATTAAAAATATTTCTCTTTTATTTTTTATTTCTTTCCAGTCAAACACACTACTATAATATCCTTTGGGCTTTATCTTGCAAAATTTCATGCTATTAGAAATTACGAACTCAGCAAAAAACAGTTTAAACTTTTTCTTTTGTCTATGAACTCTTTGAACTTAGGAACATCTTATGGTCTTTGACTTAAAAAATAATCAGTATAACACAACTAAACTTAGTCCATGTTTACTACAGGAAGCTTCTCCCTTGATTAGGAACTTACAATTTATTGATTAAGTAAATAAGTTTGTAGAGTTGTTTAGTAAATACAAAATGAAAGAAATTTATAACTTTTAAAAGCTAGTTTTTCAAAAACCATCTAAAGAAACACTTAGAATATGTTTGTTTGCATCTCTTTTTAAAAATTAAAAATACATGTAATTTTTTGTTTTTAAAAAGAGAAAACTCTTTTTAAAAATTAAAAATGCAAACAAACGTACTCTTAATTTTTAAAAAATTAACTACCAATATTTTTATTACATTTTTATCTTTAATTTTAAAAAAAAGATAACTTATCAGTTAAAAGCCTAGTACATTAATCTTATTTTCATTTTGTTATATTCATTTTAACAGTATTTTCTTTCACTTTTTTTCCTCTTTTTTTTATCTTTTTATTATTTATAATTAATAGTATATTTTAGTAGATAAAAATAGATCAACTAAATAAATAATTTTTTAAAATTAAGAAAATAAATTACAAGAATTAATTATTTAAATCAATTCATGTAATTTTTATTGATATAACATGTTAAAATTAATAATTTTAAAAATAAATTAAAATTATTGTTTGAGTGAATAATATCACTTCTATTAATAAAATGTGTTAAAATAAATTATATTTAATTTAAATATTAGATGTCTTTTTAAGTCTTTAACATAAATTAGTTAGTTGTACAACTAGTTTACCAAACAATTTAATTTTATAAGTTAACAGCTATAAGTTTTTAACTATAAGTTAATAACTTTCAACTAGTTTCACAACTAAATTTTTTTACAACTTTTAGCTTATTTTACTAAATATAGTCTTCTTGTCGTGTTGTTCGGTACAAGACACGACAAGCAGTGATCATAGGTCAAGCATATGGAATCAATTTGACCCAAATTAAATTAAATATAACAATTTTTTCTAAAAATCACAATAAATCTATAAGAAAAATTGTAACCTAGTGAACTTGACATGGTTATATATCAAAGAAATTAAAATGTTATTTTATATTGATATATTTTGTTGTATATTTTTAAATGTTTATATTTTTAAAAGTGATTCATGATGAATGATTTATTATTTGAGTATAAATTAAAATTTTTCTAATAAAGATTGAGAAGTATTCTTAATTTAATTTAAAATTTTATAGATCACATTTTTAAAATATATTAACGTAATTAATCAATCAAAACTAACACCATTCATAATTCAATTAGGACAATTTAGTCTGCATCTTAAAAACAAGAAAAATCAATCCAACCTAACTTATTAAGATATAGATCCTTTGCAGTTTTAGTGCAAAGATGACCCTGTAGTCTGTTTTTACTTAAGCAAACTCTATATTGCTTAAACAAAAATATGTAATATTCGCTTAGGTGAAAAAAACTATGCTTTAAGAGACAAAAAAATTTGCTTTACAATGAGTAAAACTCACTTAAATGAGATAGAAGAAGGCTTAAAGTTATCTGTTCAAGTGAGTTTGGCTTAAGCAAACTCACATGCATTTAAAAAAAAAAGGGGGATTGCTTAAACCATACCAAGCAAATTTGAGATAAAGAGCAATGGTTGAAAATCCTATCATTCACTTAAGCAAAAATTGATCCGACTTAAGCGGATGTGGTGTTTGCTTAAGCCACCTTGGCCAAAGTGCAACGAATTAGGATTCGCTTAAACGAATAATGTAAAAATGTGATTATTATGCAGAAACAAATAAATATATTTAATGACATAATTTTTTAACTTATATTTTGCATAGAAAATGACTTGATAAATACATATTTAAAAGAAACAAAAAAATATTTTGGCAATTGTATAATCAATTTTAACTAAGAATTGAACATTGGTATCATAAAGTTATCCCTACAAAATAAGAAGAAAAATTACAAACAATCATGTATGAGAAAATTATGAGAGAGTATTATTGATGTAAAGTTAAGTTGAATAGTCTTATTATCAATAAAGTTGTGAAATTGATAACATAAAGGGTTATTACAGAATAATAATTTAAGGAAATAATAGTATGATTTAATGTAATCAATTTTTACATTATTATTTATTAATTTAGTTTCAAATGTAAGTTTAATCTAATTTTGATTTAAATAAATTAATATCAAATTTGTTAAAGTAAACTGTTAAAATAATTAAAAGTCTAAGTTTTGATATATTAATTTTTTTATTTCAAATGAAATATATTATTATTAATTTGTTTGCTTAAGCGTTTCAAAAGCATTTGTAAGATGATACAGCAAAACAGTTAATAAGGATCACACGGTCAGCTAAATGATAGATCACTATGAAGTAAGATATCTTAAAAGACAATACACATGGCAAGATAAACTTAGAAAATAGTCTCACTGCAAAGATTAATTCAAAAGTAAGTTTGTTTAAATAGAAACTATTCATGCAAAGCTTGAAACATTTTAAATCACTAACACATAAAGAGTTTATCATGAATGCAAAACTTTTATCAAGTAAAATAATATAAAATTTATTTAGAAAAGATAAAAGAACAATTTTTTTTTATCATTGCTAAGTATTATATCAAAATAACAAAAAGACAAAAAAGCAAAGGATAAAAAGTATTTCAGACTCAAAAAAGTCTCTTGTACTTGTCAAAAAAATATTTGACAAAGAAGTTTATCACTACTATAAAATCTGTATATATAGACAAATTTAGAGATGAATTTTGGAACCATTACAGATGAATTTTGAAATTATAGATAAATTTACAGATGGATAGAAACTGTCTATAATATCTTTATCGGTAAAAAATTAAAGACGGATTGTTAAATCTGTCTGTAACTTACAGACGAAAAAATTTGTCTATAACTTATAGACAAAAAAATTTGTCTGTAATTTATAGACAAAAAAAATCTGTCTATAATCGGTTTATGATATATTTTACTATTTTTGTTATTTTTTGTTTATATACATAATTATTCTTGTCTGTTCCTTATTATTACAATTTATAAATATAATAAAAACTACAAATTAAATTTAAAAATCTAAAAATAATTTATAAAATGTAAAATTTAAATGTCATTACAAATGAAGACAAGAACATCTAAATAAATAATGTTAAAAATAAAATACAAGTGTTCATCACGAATAATATGTATGATCATCATCTGAAGGAGCATCATCATCAATAGACGAGGAGTCGGAAGAGGAATGATGCATGGAGCTGAAAACTGGTGGTGCTGGAGCTGGTGGAAGAGGAGGAAGAGGTGTGGAGCTACTTACTCTCATGAGCTCAAAATATGCATGCATCTGTTGCATCTGCCTATGTTGTTGCTCCATCTGCTGCTAGACCTCCCTTTGCATCCTCGATGCTACTTTCTTCTCTATCTTCTTCTCTATTTTCTTTGCCCACTTTTTCTTCCATGCACTTTCCTTACTCTTCCATATCTCCTCATTCTGCTTCTGGAGTTCTTCATTAAGGGCATCAACTTGAGTGCAGACCATGTCCTTCACTTCTTCAGGTGCAAGAGAAAGAGCATATCCGGTGACAGATGTAGAGGACATGGAGTCTGCAAAGCGCCCCCATGCCATAATCCGACCTTTATAAAGGCTACCCACTGTCTGTGACCACATAACATCCTCCTCAACTGACTCTGGATCCTGAGAAGTTGTCTCCTCAAGGCTTTGAACATAGTCATCCTACAGTTCAGTTAAGATAATTAGATATTAGTCTAGAGAACTATTTAATAAATCACTAATAATAACATATAGTATCAATAAGAGTGACTTACATATGTGGCCTGAGATCGTGTATCAACCCACAGGTTTTTTGTCTCCCTTGCGAGTGTATGTCTCCTTAAACAACTCTCTATGCGTAGGTGGCCTCTTCAACAACTTCTCCTGCAATTATAATTAAATCGCATCTCAAATATGAAATTATAGATAGAGTAAAATAAATTTTAAAATCTCATACCAAGTTCGCCTTAGTGCCAACCAAAGTCGTTGAGCCACCAGTATGCAGTGATCCCCCCTTATTAGTGCCCTATTTGTCTTAATTTTTTATGAAGAGATTTTTCAACTCATCTGTACCCCAATACTCCTACAAGGCATGAAGAAAGTTAGGTGCTATTCAATCAGCACTAGAAGGGTCCTGACGAGCCTCTGTGTAGTCTT